TATTTTAAAATACATATATTTTAAATATATATTTCAAATACAAAGACATATTTCCAATCACAACCTAAAAAAATTGTTATTTAAGCGTTTTTGTTAAAAAAAAGGTTTATTGTTTAAGTAGAGCTATAGGCGAACCCACAATTCAACCCTCGAAGTATGGACGGGACAAATCCATCTTTCAACTAAATGTAGGAAAAAGTTGTCTCATAAATAATTAGATTAGACAAATTATCATAAGTAAAAACAATTAATAAAAATTATTAATAATTAAAATTGAGATAATTTGTCTGATAACGGGTAACACCATATGGGGGTGAGGGTAGATTTTTGGGGGGTTTACCCAGTGCTTTGTAGAAGTCAAAATTTTGTAACTGGCTCTGAATGTGATACTCAGTGAAGCAAACCCCTTCTGATCAACCGAATAAACTCTAAAGCGTGGAGCCTGTAACCAAGAGAGACTTAGAAAATATGTCAACCTTTGATGTATAGAATGTCATCCTTTGACATATAATACAAGGCTTTACCAAAAGGTTAAATACCATTTTTGGTCCCTCTACTATAGGAAAAGCTTCTTTTTGGTTCTTATACTGAAAAAATCCCTTTTTTGGTCCTTACTGTTCACAAATCCGGCTCCTTTTTAGTCATTCCGTTAAATTTTAGCTGATGTGGCAAGTTAATTAACGAAAACATTTATTCTTTTTTTTTTTAGAAAATTACGTGGAAAATCCATGTGGCGAAAATTAATGACATGTTAAATTTTTTACTTTTAATTACTGATATACCCTCGTCTTCTTCCTCGGCTTCCCCTTCCTCTAGCCTTTCTTTTTTTTCTTTTACCTCTAGGCGAACCCAAGAGCCTGGGTTTGCGAGGAACCCAGCTCGCTTGGATCGTTGGGGAGGTGGAAGAAATTACATTCTCAAACATTCAATTCCCTTAAATTTTTTAAAAAACTAACAAACAATACAGCTTTAGCTTGCCTAAATTCTTCCTCTGCAGTTCAATCAATCCTCACATTCTTCAGAGTTCAATCTATACATACTATGAAACTCAACATTAAAACAAAAATCAATTTCCAAATTTTTTCATGCAACACTAGAAACACCATCAATCCCCAAAATTGAAGAGCAAAATCAAATAAGAACGCGAGAAACATACTCAGCGAGATCGCCTAATTGGCGCAAGATTCCAACGAGTCCAACAACATCGACGCCATCAAGGAGAGCTTTGGGATCGTCCCTATTAGCTTGCTTGTACAGCTCCGGCTGCCCCAACCGGAGATTGCCGTGGTCCTCCCCGTCCTCCCCATTTTGATCCAAGCCAGTTGGGTTCCGCGCAGACCCAATGCTAGGTTTCGAGAGGAACCCAGGTCTGGGTTCCTCACTAACCCAGTGTTGGGTTTCATGAGGAACCCAGATCTAGGTTCCTTGTGAACCCCGCACTGGCTCTGGGTTCCTCATGAAACCCCGCACTGGGTTCCACGAGGAACCCAAGATGATGAAGATGATTCTGAAGAAGAAGAGGAGGGTGAAGAAGAAGATGAGGGTAAGGATGAGGAGAAAGAAGAAAAGGAAGAAGAAGATGAAAAAATTAAAATTAATTATGTTTAATTCATAAATTAATAAAGTAAAATTTTTAATTAGTATAAGTGACACATAATATTCAGATAAAGTG